CTATTGTTTGAATTTCTATTATAAATATTGTAACCTGGTATTTTAAATTTGTTATCTTTGAACCATGTTTCGTTAAGTAGGCATATATCAATGTTTTGTTGTTGCAAGAATTGAATGAGCAAGGGTTTTTTACTATTTGCACTTTGAATGTTATACTGAGCAATACGTAACTTAGACTGTGTGGGACCTAGATCCATTATTTTAGATTTTTAATTAAGATATCCTTAATTGTTTTCAATGTAGTAGGTGAATTATCACCCCTATTGCCTATCTCCACCAATGTCTGTACAAGGGCCATAAGTACATCATTGTTGGAGACAATTTGAGTTTTAATATTTTCTACAGGCAAGAAATCTTGCTTATTTACATTATCTACATTTGAATTTACAGGCTTATTTACAATATTATATACTGGCTTATTTACAGAATTATATACAGGTTTATTTACAGACTTATTTACACCACTATATAAAGGTGTTTTTGATGTTGGAAGTGGGGGAAATTCATTATTATTAATTTGCTTAGTTGTGGTAGCACTTGCATAAGTAATTTTAGTTTTCTTTTCCATAATTTTCTTCATTTTAACTGGACATACTTTTGAAATGGCAAGATGAGGTCTGCTGCAATTTGTACAACAAATTTCAGTGGGCTTGTCACATTCCTTATATAAGTGCTCACCTCCACAAATTGAACATCTTTGTTTACCGTTACAGATTTTAGCTGAGTGATTAAACTTGAAACATTTGAAACATTGTTGCAACGGTGGTATATATTCGAAAACTCTATAAGAGAATAAGTCATATTGAACATTATCTGGTAAAATATTAGATAGAAAAGTAATGCTTACAGTTTGTAAAGGAACATATTCATTTCCTACTTTTTTCGAAAATCTTCTTATTGCGATTATTTCATATATTGACGATAGCCTGCTATATAACTCTTTATTTGATATGCTCGCTGGTACGAATCTAATAATGCCAGTTTTTTCAATTTGGGCAGCGGGAATAAAAGCTTTCAATTGATATTTGTTTAGAAAAGATGAATTGGAAATAAAGTTATTTGCTGTATTATATTGTTTGAAATTAACTGCAATTTTATTGGCATTCACGCGTTGAATTGCCGTCACACCTTTAATTTCGTTTGAAAATATGTGATTCAAATATGTTGGGCTCTTGTTGCCCAGTCTATCCCTATTAGTAGCTTCCACAAATACTTTAAATTCAGTATTTACCGAGTTCTCGGGATACAGTCTTTTGTAGTTAGGTTTAAAAAAGGGTAAATAAGAGTCATTACGCTCACCGCCACTACCGACTTCAACGTCCATCTTGGGATCACCACGGTCCTCAACGCGAAGACGTTTAGATGATGAGGTGGGCGGGTTATCCCCGCCCCCCTCGTTACCCTCCATTACAAAGGGTCAAACCTTAAAATTTACACTATTTACAATTAACTTTAAGATAAAAATAATGAAATAAAATATTTAAACGAAAAGAAATTTAAAATACGCGCGCTCTATTTGGAGTTCCCGCCAAAAGTCACGACCAATTGCCTCTAATGAAATCCTTTTGCACATAACCACAGATTTGTCAGATGCTGCATATACCCAAAGAGTATACCTACTCTTCGCCACAAAGTCAAAATAAAGTGTTGTCAGATCAGATGTCAGTTGTGAAGTTGTCATTGTTGGCAATGTCAGATTTAAAATAGTAAAATAGCAAACCTAAGTTTAATTTAATTTATTTCGTTCTTACTTACTTAAACATAAAGAAGTCTATCTCTCTTTATTATGTCACAATGTATGGAGATCGACGGAAGTGTTTTAGAAGGGGTATGGAAAAATAAAATGATTTTGCAATAATTTATTTGCAAGTGCAAATTATTTTTTCTTATTACGCTTTTATGTTCCAGGGCGGACAAATCCTTCGAAACTCTATATCACTTAGTGCCATTCTAGGCATACCGGTACGGGTTATGAACATAAGGGCAGGGCGAAGTAAACCCGGCTTAGCTGCTCAGCATCTAAAAGGTTATTTGATTAATGAGTACATAGCAACCCCTTAATGTATATTTCTCGTACTTAATCTACGCTAAATATTTGTCTATTGAACTATTTGTCACAATTCCGTTGTTTAATTATTATTGTGCAATACCTGCAGATATTTTTCCTGACAAAAAATTACAAACTTTGATGTTATTCCTAATTTAAACTTAAAAGAAATGCAGTCTTTGTAATTTTTTAATGCAATATTTTTTATTTAGGTATTCAGTTGGTAGCAGAAATGTGTAGAGCCAAACTCAAAGGTGCCAGCATTGGGTCTACGGATATTGAGTTCATACCTGGCAAGCTACGAGGAGGCCATTATGTAGCTGAT